ATTCTAACCCCAAACTCGAATATCTAGGGCCTGGTAAGTCAGACAACTTAGCAAGACCTAGCCAAGAACTTGTGGCCTTCAGGCTATCACGAGACCATTCTAAAATATTGGCAAACAACATAATCTACCCTTTGCCCCCACACACCCATAAAACAATGACTGACATGTTAATCTTTTTATATTGGATTATTACAAAACTCTGTTATCTCTTCAGGGAAGCATTGGAGATGAAGTGGAAAAATCTGTACTGGGTCAGGTCCCATAGAGTCAATCATTTTTCTACCATTAAAAAGTTGTACAACCCATTTAGCCCAGGCTGTCTTCAGCCATGTATGATTTTTAAAATGAGCTCTAACAAGATTTCATTGTACAGAATTTTGAAAATATTTGGCAAGCATCAAGTTAATATCTTCTTTTTTTTTTTCTCTTTCCCAGTACTGGAGATTGAACCCAGGGGCTTTTCCATGGAGCTATATCCCTAGTCCTTTTTATTTTTTATTTTGAGACAGGGTCTCACTGAGTTGTCCAGGCTGGCCTTGAACTTGCCATCTCCCTGCCTTCGTCACCTGAGTCTCTGAGATTACAGGAGTGTGCCACCACACTTGATTAAATTAATGTCTTTAGAATACTTTAATAAAAAAAAACTATGAATTTTTCAGAGTAAAACAGGTAGAAGACATGATTAGGCAATTCACAAAAGCAAATAAATGGTTAGTAAGTCCTGGAAATAGTCTCAGCCGTATTTTTCACCAAAGACATGAAAATTAAAACAAAGAGTATATAATTTTCTAAGTGTCATATCACCAAAAAGTAAAAAGATAGGTAACTTTTAATAATATCCAGGGAGTCAGGAGTGGTGATGCGCACCTGTAATCCCAGAGACTCCAGAGGCAGAGACAGGAGGATTGCAAGTTGGAGGTTAGCCTAGGCAATTTAGTGAGACCATGTCTCAAAATAAAAATAAAAAGGACTGAGAATATAGCTCAGTAGTAAAGCACCCTTGGTGTTCAACCCCTTATATCACCCAAAGAAATTATTGTCAAAGGACATTTGATTTTCTTTTTCCTTCTTTTTTTTTTTTTTGGTTCTTTCTTTTTTTGCCGAGAATGGAATCCAGGCTTCATGCATACCAGGCAAGCATTTGACCACTGAGCTACATTTTAGAATTCTTATGCCTTGATCATATAAGATTTCTGGAGGCAACCTTGAAATATGTAGCAACATTTTATTGTGTATTCTCTTCAACCTAGGAATCCTGCTACAGGTAATTTTTTTTCTACTTTAGGAAATTTATCTTAGAAAAACAAACAAGTGACAAAAGATGGCTATGTGAGTTCCAAAAGCATAAATTTATTATAGCAGTATTTATTATATATAAAACTAGGAACAACCTATATTTTCTTCAATTAAGTATTGGTAAAATATAAGAGTATCGCAAATCCAGTCAGTAGGATACTACAAAAAAATTTAAAAGGAAAAAGTAGAGCTACATGCCTAGAACAGTGGTAACACTAGAACCATGCTTGGTACGAAATAGGTGCTCAATAAATATCTGTTAAATGAATGAACCATTTTTGAAAAGATGTTAGATAAATAACAGTAAAATATCAGCACAAAGCCAAGTGTGGGGGTGCACACCTATAATTCCAGTGTCTCAGGAGGATTAGGCAGGAAAAATCACAAGTTTGAGGCCAGTTTCAGCAACTTAGTGAGACCCTGTCTCAAAATTTAAAAAAAAATAAAATAAAAAAGGACTGGAGATGTGGCTCAGTGTTAAGTTTCCCTGAGTTCAACCTCCAGTACCAAAACAAAAACAAAAACAAAATCAGCACATAATTTTATTTCTTTAAGACAAAAGCATGGTGTGCTATATATGCACAAACATGTTTAGTAGAACATTTACAAAATTTTTATCCTGGTTTCAACAGGGAAAACTTTTACTTTTCAAGTAACATATTTCTGTCCTTTTTGTTGTTTGCTTTTCTTTTACACTATTTATTTTTCCTTTTTTAAGAGTTTAATAATTGTATAACTAACATCTGAATACAGCCTCATTGTTAAATATTAAACTGTCTAAAGTGACTGTGCTTTCTGGACCAATACCTAATCCCAGTCCCCTTCCCAGAGATAAGTTTAACCACACTAGCTTAGTTTTATTAGGTGCTGTTTTAAATTATGTCATACTGGGCTGGGGTTGTGACTCAGCGGCAGAGCGCCCACCTAACACATGCGAGGCCTTGGGTTCGATCCTCAGCACCACATAAAAATAAATAAATAAAATAAAGATATTGTGTCCAGCTACAGCTAAAAAATAAAATATTAAAAAGAGTTATGTCCTACTGTAGGTGTCGTTCAGCTACTTTGGCTTTTATTAAATAGTAGGTCCTGGGGACCTTTATGTGTAAACTATCTAGACATCTTATTTTTTTTAGCTAAAACATAACATTCTATAATATAGATGTGTAAAGGGGGTCCGGCGGAACGTCGGAGGGAGAGACCACACAAGAGACTTACTCCATGCAATTGGCAAAAGGGGATATTTATTGGGGATCCATTCCAGCGCGCTGGGACTCTGTGCCCACTCAAGAAGGGAGAGCAGCCCAGA